GACTGTGTCAAGCAGCAAGGATGGACTGACTTCCGGAAAATTCCCCCGTTTTTATTTTTTAAATGATAGCCCGTGTAAATTAGTGGCCACCTCTTGGATTGGGTTGTTTAAGACTCGGAAGAAGACTGACAAACAATGATAGCGAGCATAGCTATAAATATAGTGGATGGAGTGTACATGGAGCCTTGTTCCTGTAGAAGGTTGCTGGCCTCTTCAGTCAAGGGATTTCAGCTGTCCTCAAGTTGGTGGTTTGGTTGTCCTTGTTGATCTGGCTAGTAGGCGGTGTCATTGGTGACGGGCTTCTGGAAGTGTCAGCGCGTTGAATAGCTGGATCAAAGGGTCCATCAGGGCCGAGCTTGATGGTGGTGTCAGTGTCCGGGGAGGAGTCAGCTGTGCCCTCTGGGTTGGCTGATATGGATGATACCGGGGAGGAGGAGGATGAGGCGGAGATGGAGGGTGGTGTGACATAAGGTCGGACTAGATGGTCTGGAATCCACACAGGTGAGTCTGTGTCCTGTGGAAATATACAAGCGTATCCTCTCCCCCAGGTTAAAAGTACATCAGGTCCCTTCCAGGCTCCTGTAAGTAAGTCTCTCCATTTGACAAGGGCTTTAGGTTTAGTTAGATCAGGGTTTCAATGTCTGTACATCGGGGAATTTCCCTCAGAATCTACATTTAGTATATTAATTACAAATAAAGTATGTTGTAGAACATGATGAGGAGAGGAATATTTAAACTCATTTTCTTGTAATTTTTTAATTTGTGTTTTTAAAGTTTGATGAGCCCTTTCTACTATTGCTTGGCCTTGAGGATTGTAGGGTATTCCTGTAGTATGTGCGATGCCGAATGTAGAGCATAAGTTTTTAAAAGCTCTAGAGGTATAGGCAGGCCCATTGTCTGTTTTAAGTGCCCTTGGTATTCCTAGGTAGGAAAAACATTGGAATAAATGTTGACTTACATCTTTAAAGGCTTCTCCTGTACGTGCAGAATCAAGGATAACATGAGAAAAGGTATCAATACAAACATGCACATAGAAAAGTTTGCCAAAAGATGGGACATGAGTAATATCCATCTGCCATAAGTCACAGGGTCTAAGTCCTCTTGGATTAACTCCAGTAGCAGAGCTAGGAAAATGAGTCGGACAATGGCCGCAGTCACGCACAATACTTCGAGCAGCTTCTCTAGATATGCAATAATATAGACGGAGAGCAGAAGCATTTTGATGGTGAATGGCATGAGACCGCCAGGCTTCTTCTAGAGCTGTACAAACTACTGGGCGAGTTAGTAAATCTGCCTGATAATTTCCTTCCCTTAAGGGTCCTGGTAGGCAGGAAATAGCTCTAATATGTCCAATATAGAAAGCCTATTCTCGTTTATGAATGTAAGTTTGTAGCTGAGTTAACAAAGAGAAAACGGCTGTTCTTCCTTGTGGGAGAGAGGTGGTCTCGATATGAGGAAATAATTTAACTATATATTGAGAGTCAGTGTACAAGTTAAAGGGAACCTGTTGCAATTGTTCAAAAGCATAAATGACTGCCAAAAGCTCAGTTCTCTGGGCTGACGTCTCTAGGGTTTGTTGAACATGGGTTATTGAGTCAATGATTGTTACTGCCCTACCATTAGAGGAACCATCTGTGAATACTAAGGAGGCAGGAGGTGATAATGGCTCTTTTGAACATTTAATAGGAAATATAAATGGATGTAGGGAGAGAAATTGCAATATAGGTGATCTTGGCAAATGATGTAAAATTTGTCCTGGGAAGTTACCTATAGCTATTTGCCACTCTTCTTCAAATTGTAATAGTGTGTCTAATTGTTCTCTTTTATAAGGTACTAGAGGCCCAGTGCACGAAATTTGTGCACTGGGGGATGGGGTTCCCTCAGCCAAGCCTGCCCCTCAGTCCGGGAGCCCTCAGTAGATGTCCTACTGATGGCCACAGTCTGGCAGCAGAGGCTGGGTGCAGCTGTCCCCATGTGTGTCTGTGTGTGTGTGTGTGTGTGTGTGTGTGTGTGTGTCTGCTGGGGACCTGCCCCCAACCCCGCCACATAGGCTCCGAGCAGTTGCCGTGTGTGTGTGTCCACTGGTGGTCTGCTCCCAACCACATTGGAAGCTCAGAGTAGGCACTGTGTGTGTGTGTGTGTGTGTGTTGTGTGTGTGTGTGTGTGTGTGTCTGCTGGGGGCCTACCACCAGCCACACCCTGAAGGCCTCGAGCAGGCGCCCCTCTCTGTTGATCTCTCAGGCTCCTGGCCTCCACTGCATGTTGTACTCTCCCCTGAGCTGTGGCCAGAATGGGGCGCCCTTTCCTGCTGTGGGATCCCCAGGGCTACCCAGGGACAGGCGCATAGGGGGGCTGGCTGCAGGTCGCCCTTTCCTGCTCTGTGATCCCTGCAGCGACCCAGGGGCTGGCACACATGGGGGCTGGCTAGAGGCCGCCCTTTCCTGCTCCATGATCTCTAGGGCGATTCCACCTGCAGGCGCACACAGGGGCTGGCTGCAGGCTGCCCTTTCCTGCACCTCCCGGCAGCGATCCCACGGGCAGGCGCACATAGGGGCTGGCTGCAGGCCACCCTTTCCTGCACCTCGAGGCAGCAATCCCACGGGCAGGCGCACATAGGGGCTGGCTGCAGGCTGCCCTTTCCTGCACCTCAAGGCAGCGATCCCACGGGCAGGCACATACAGGGGCTGGCTGCAGGCTTCCCTTTCCTGCACCTCCCGGCAGCGATCCCATGGGCAGGTGCACACAGGGGCTGGCTGCAGGCCGCCCTTTCCAGCTCCGTGATCGCCGCAGCGATCCCATGGGCAGGCTTACACAGGGGCTGGCTGCAGGCCGCCATATCCTGTTCTGTGATCACCGCTTTGATCTCATGGGTAGGCGCACACAGGGGCTGGCTGCAGGCCGCCCTTTCCTGCTGTGGGATCTCTGGTTGCTCATCCCTGGCGGGAGGGCCTGTTGGGGGTGTGACTACTGGCTGACAGGCAGCAGTTCCCGCCAGTGCCAGGGGATCTCCCCAGGGAGAGCCGGTTGGGGGCCTGGCCAGTGGCAGATCGCTGGGGTCACGCCCGCCATCAGAGTCACAGATAGCAGGCCAGGATGGTGGGGGGGCAGACAGAATAGCGCTGTCCCATCCTGCCTGCAGTATGCAAATTAGCCGCCATCTTTGTTGGCAGTTAACCGCCATCTTGACTGGCAGTTAATTTGCATATTGCTCTGATTAGCCAATGGGAAGGGTAGCAGTCGTATGCTAATTACCATTTTTCTCTTTTATTATATAGGATTATTATCTCAGTAACTTCTCTTCCAAAGAGTTCGATACTGCATTGTCTACCTTTGATAATGAGAGTGGCCACTAGGGAGGGATAGGATGTTACAATCTTTCTAGGAGTGACAGGTAAATGTATCCATTCTAATGGTCCTTCCTGCCATAAGCATCCTGTAGGAGTATATTTAGTGGCTAGAATAATTAAGGTCCAAGATTTGGAATAATCTAGATACTGTAGTTGCTGTTTGTTTGTTTGTTTGTTTGTTTATTTATTTATTTCTATTTTCAAGGTGGCAATCTATAGATTTTAAAGAATTTTTTAAAAATTGCCGAAACCGGTTTGGCTCAGTGGATAGAGCGTCGGCCTGTGGACTGAAGGGTCCCAGGTTCGATTCCGGTCAAGGGCATGTACCTGGGTTGCGGGCACATCCCCAGTGGGAGATGTGCAGGAGGCAGCTGGTCGATGTTTCTCTCTCATCGATGTTTCTAACTCTCTATCTCTCTCTCCCTTCCTCTCTGTAAAAAATCAATAAAATATATTTAAAAAAATAAAAAAAATAAAAAAATAAAAATTTTTTTAAAAATTAAGTTTTTATTGTTCGAATTATTACAGTTGTTCTTCTCCCCGCCCCCCATAGCTCTCCTCCTCCCCGTTCTCACCCCACCCTCTGCCCTTACCCCTCCCACTGTCCTCATCCATAGGTGTACGATTTTTGTCCAGTCTCTTCCTGCACCCCCATACCCCTTTCCCCACAAGAATGGTCAGTCCACTCCCTTTCCATGCCTCTGGTTCTATTATATTCATCAGTTTACTCTGTTCATCAGATTTTTTATTCACTTGATTTTTAGATTCACTTGTTGATAGATATGTATTTGCTGTTCATAATTTTTACCTTTACCTTTTTCTTCTTCCTCTTCTTAAAGAATACCTTTCAGCATTTCATATAATGCTGCTTTGGTGGTGATGAACTCCTTTAGCTTTTTCTTATCTGTGAAGCTCTTTATCTGACCTTCACTTCTGAATGATAGCTTTGCTGGATAAAGTAATCTTGGTTGTAGGTTCTTGCTATTCATCACTTTGAATATTTCTTGCCACTCCCTTCTGGCCTGCATAGTTTTTGTTGAGAAATCAGCTGACAGTCGTATGGGTACTCCCTTGTAGGTAACTGACTGTTTTTCTCTTGCTGCTTTTAAGATTCTCTCTTTGTCTTTTGCCCTTGGCATTTTAATTATGATGTGTCTTGGTGTGGTCCTCTTTGGATTCCTTTTGTTTGGGGTTCTCTGTGCATCCTGGATTTGTAAGTCTATTTCTTTCAGCAGGTAGGGAAAGTTTTCTGTCATTATTTCTTCAAATAGGTTTTCAATATCTTGCTCTCTCTCTTCTTCTGGCACCCCTATAATTCGGATGTTGGTACCCTTGAAGTTGTCCCAGAGGCTCCTTACACTATCTTCATATTTTTAAAAATATATATATTTTATTGATTTTTTACAGAGAGGAAGGGAGAGGGATAGAGAGTTAGAAACATTGATGAGAGAGAAACATCGACCAGCTGCCTCCTGCACACCCCCTACTGGGGATGTGCCCGAAACCAAGGTACATGCCCTTGACTGGAATTGAACCTGGGACCCTTCAGTCCGCAGGCCGACGCTCTATCCACTGAACCAAACCGGTTAGGGCGGCCAGTGGTTTTAACCTGGATCTGCACCCTACCCCACTTCTCTTCCCTCCCTCCCTGTAATGCCCCATCCCAGGATGGCCCTACATGCGGCGCTGGTAGCCAGAGTGCATTTGAGCTGCCCGCGGGTAATCATTATAGGAACCCGAATAGCGTGCGTAATCGGAATGAGCATCGGGCAGGCGACGGTAATCCAGCGAGGACTTTGTCTGTGAGCGGCGGAACGAAAGCTGCGACTCTGATAAACGGCGGTAATCAGGGAGCTCGGGTAAACACCAGTCGGAACCATACCTTTTCGACATGGCGACAGCCTTTTTGTAGGGATCGTCGTAGCTGGCCCGGGGTGGGGAGAGGCAGGTACGCTCATAAGGCTGCGGGGTGCTGTTGGCGTTGGCAACGGCCCCCTGGGACATGGATAAGTAGGCTGCAGATGGCTGGCCTGCCCTATCATAGGCATTGCCCGGCTGGCCACGGTAGGAGGCAGCAGCCTGGGGATGCTGCTGGGCAGCATAAGAAGCAGCCAATGAGGCTGATGACTGAGTGCGGTAAGGACCTGCCAGGATGGCAGAAGGCTGGGCCCCGTAGGAGGCTGCCTGGGCCCCATAGGAGCCTAGGGAGGAAGCTGCTCCGTGGGTGTTGTAGGAGGAGGCAGCCGCTCGAACCCCATAGGAAGAGGCAGCCTGTGTGCCATAAGAGGATGGCTGGTTAGCATAGGAGGCCAGGGAGGAGCCCTGTGCCCCATAGGAGTTGAGTGAGGAAGCTGCAGCTGCCTGATCCCCATAGGAGGAAAGGGCCGAGGGCTGGGCTCCACCATATGGGCCAAGCGAGGAAGCTGCAGCAGATTGGGAGCTAGGGCTGGCCAACTGGCCCCTGAATGGGGCTCCAAGGGAGACAGAGGGCTGAGCGCGGTAAGAGGCTGCCTGGGCTGTCATGGGCTGAGTCGGATAGCCGACACCCAAAGAGGCAGAAGGCTGAGCCCTGTAGGCAACTCCCAGTGACACTGAGGGCTGGGCCCTGTAGGTGGCTGGCTGGGCCGTCAAAGGAGCCACATAAGAGGCTCGGGGAGGTGAACGGCGCAGGGGGCTGCGGTCGCGACCAAAGAAGGGTGGTATGGGCTGACGGGCTTGCCCATCAAAGCCACCAGTGCTGTTGCCAAAAGCCTGCTGGTAGTCGAAGGTGGCAGAGAAGCCACCAGCTCCAGGGAATGCCGTATCCCCAGCCCCTGGTTTCTTGGTCTTGTCCCCAGACTGGATAGCCAGGCCAGGCCCCTTCTTCTGACTCTTGGTTGAGAGTTCCACGTTGATGCGCTTGCCCTTCACTTCTTTGCCATTGAGCTGTGCGATGGCGGCTTTGGCATCTGCTTCCTTCTCCATGTGAACAAACGCATAGTCTTTTACCACCTCACACTCGATGACGCATCCGTGGCGTTCAAAGAGGCTACGCAATTCCTGGCTCGTGCATGCAGCCGACACATTGCCCACGAAAATCTTCCAAGTATTAAGAGGCCTTGGGCGCGACATCTCCACCACGAGTGCGCGCCCAGGCTGCAGCTCATGGCCATGCAGGGCCTCGATGGCGCGCAGCGCGCCCTCGTTCTCGCGCATGTGCACGAAGGCAAACTGTTTTATGATGGCGCAGCTCATGACTGTGCCATAGGGCGCGAAGAGGGCTGCCAGCTCCTCCGGCGTTGTATCTGCTCCATCGACGTTTCCCACGAATATCTTCATTTTGTCGCTGCAGCCGCCTTCCCAGAGAGCCGGGACGTCTCCGCAAGCGACAAGCGAAACGTCTGGCTTGTCGGCAGTCCTCCCAGGAATCTAGAATCTGCCTTTAAAATGTCAAATAGAGGTTTTAAGTCAAGATTGGTTATTTTTAGATATGACCTGACCCAGTTGATATCACCTAATAGTTTCTGATAATCATTTAATGTGTTTAAATGATCTTTTCTTAATTGTAAAGGCTGATGGGTGATAGTAAAGGTATGTAATATTCTGCCTAAGGAGGAAAAAGAAGGTTCAGTCTGAATCTTTTCTGGGGCTATTTTTAGACCATGTTCTTCTAAAGCAAGGACGGTCTGAGTAAGAATTTCCTGTAAAGTAACCCGATCTTTATGAGCTACTAAAATATTTTTCATATAATGAATAAGATATAGGTCTGAAAATTTCTTTCTAATAACTTGCAATGCCTGATCTACAAACTTTTGACATAATGTAGGACTATTTTTCATCCCTTGAGGGAGAACCTTCCATTGATATCTCTGATAAAGCTGTTTAAAGTTTTCTGATGTTACGCTGAATGCAAATCTTTGACATTCAGCCAGGTGAAGAGGTATAGTGAAAAAACAATCCTGTAAGTCAATAACAACAACACAATACTCCTGTGGAATTGCCACAGGGGAGGGCAATCCAGGTTGTAAGGAGCCCATATCTGTCATGGTGGCATTTATGGCTCTGAGATCTTGCAAAAGTCTCCACTTGCCTGATTTCTTATTACAAATATGAGTGTGTTCCAGGGACTATTTGATGGCTCTATATGTCCCTCTGCTAATTGCTGATCAATTAATTGTCAGGCTGCTGATATTTTTTCAGATGTTAAGGGCCATTGCTCAACCCATACTGGTTGTGATGATTTCCAGACTATGGGATCAGCAGTCCTAAGGGCAATGGCCCCAATTATAAATCCTATCGAGGAGTGTGAGGTATTACTTCCTTTTCCTAATCCCTTTTCTGGATTAAATCCCATGTCTAGCATCTGTGATGTTACTCTATCACTGGGGCTATATAATAGAACTCCCATTTGAGACAAGATATCTCTTCCCCATAATGTAAACGGGATAGTCGTAATTACATAGGGACAGAATGTTCCTGAATGTTGATCTTTATCAGCCCAAGTTAAAATCTGAGAACTCTTTTTTACATTAGATGTCTTGCCTAGTCCTACTAGGGAAGTGGAGGTGGTGTGCGTGGGCCACGAAGAGGGCCAATCCTTCCCTGCTATGCAGGAAACATCTGCTCCTGTATCCAATAGACCTTCAATTGGTTTTCCCAGAATTTGTAAAATTTTTGTCGGTCTAGCAGCATGGATTTCTTGTATCCAAAATGCTGCATCACTAGATCCAAAGCCTCCGGCCCCTCTGGCTTCCTGGGTAACAGCTGTCCCTATTTTATGTATTGATAATAGGAGTAATTGGGCAATTCTCGGGTTGGGCTGAATCTGTATAGTTGTGGTGGGTGGGGAAAGTAAAATCTGTATTTCTCCTGTGTAGTCTGCATCAACAACTCCTGGAATGACTAAGATCCCCTGTAACGAGGTGGAGCGCCATCCTAATATTAAACCTATAGTTCCCTCAGGCAGCAGCCCGGACACACCTGTAGGAATGGCTGCTACTGGCGAGTCTGGGGTTAGTATTGCATGGGTGGTTGAATGGAGGTCCAATCCTGCACTGCCTGGGGTTGCCCTGAAGAGGTCACTGACTGATTGGGAGCTGTTTGTAGAATTTAAAGGCCGACCATTTTTTATGATATTTTGATCTACATTCCTTTGCCCAATGGAATCCTTTCTGACATCGGGGACAAACAGTTTTTGGAGGATTAATATTATTCCCTGATGTATTTCCAGGCTGTTGAGGAGCTTGCCATCTGGCCTGAGTATTATTATTTTTATTTGGGCATTCTCTGCTAAAGTGCCCAGGTAAGCCACAGGAGTAGCAGTTCATATTTCTTTTATTACCTGTATTATTGCTGGCTTGTCCTATGCCCTGTACATATTGAGGGTATGTCTCCCCCTTGAGGGCTTCAGCTATAGCTACACCCTGTATAAATGCTGGACTTACATCAGCACACTGTTTTATAAAATCATTTATAGTTCCCGTTCTGCGAATTTGCCTTAATAAAGCCTGACAGGTATTATTAGCATTTTCAAAAGCCAGTTGTTTGATTAGGATATCGGCTGCCTCTTCATTAGTGATTACTCTCTTGACTGCCTGTATGAGGCGAGAAAGGAAATCCTGATACGGTTCCTCGACCTTCTGTTTAACCTCTGTGAGGGTGGTTGTTTTTCCTACTGTACAAGATAGGGATTTCCAGGCATTTACTGCACAACTGGTTACTTTAATAAGTGCCTTTTTGGGCATATACATTTGCTCCTGAGCCGTGATAAAATCACCTTCTCCTAATATCAGTCATATCTAGGGTTATTCCTCCTCTGGAATTTTTTCTAGTGACTACAGCTCTCTTAGCAAGATCATCATATTCAGTTTTCCATACTAAGTAATCGCCTCCTGAGAGACAGGCTTTACAAACCTGTGACCAATCATAAGGAGTCATCCATTTACTGGCTAGGGCTTCTACCAAGGTTTGTGTGTAAGGAGCTAGAGGTCCATATTCAGAGCAGGCCAATTTTAATTCTTTAAATATTTTGTAAGGTATAGGCTCCCAGGTGGGGTTTTCGTCCTCACCAAACTCATTCTCATATGCAACTGGGAAGCAGAGTGAGAATTCAAGATCTTCATTAGCTTCAGCTTCTCTTATCGCCCTTTGAAATTTAGACATGGAGCTCATAGGAGCCGCAGGACCTGGTTTAGGCTTCCTTTCTAATTTAGGGAGCCTGTTTTGAATGGAAGGGCCTCTCTCCTCTCTACGGACTGGAAAGAACCAAGGGTCATGTTTATGATATTTATCTCCTTCTGATCAGTAGGCATAGCTAAATTGCTCTTAGATTGAGCTGGAGACAATAATGATGTGTCCTCTCTAGGTGGAGCCAAGGGACTATTTAAAGTTTGAGAAAGTTCAACCGTTTCTGTCTCTGGTGCCAAGGTGTCACGAATTAAATTCCAGAGGGAAAGGGTATCTGCCGGGACCTTCTCAGATCCATGGTAGCTGTAACAATTCTTTAATTGCTCTCCTACTTTAGTCCAAGTTTCTAAATTAACAGTTCCTTCCTCAGGAAGCCATGGACATACTTCTTGTATAAAATGTTCTGTCTGACTGGGAGTAACCTTAACTCCTCTGCTAGCAAGCATATGTGTTAAAAGATCAATACAGAGACTTTTTTCTTTGGACTCAGTATGACCCATCTTCTCAATCTAAGTTCTGTACTATCTACCCTCTTACCCTACTTATCCTCTATAGGGGGGTCTGCAGCACCCTACGGTGCAGTCCTATCCATCCCAAGTGCGGGGGTGGGGGGGGGCTTACCTAGGGGAATACTGTTTGGGCGCCAGATGTTGGGGTCCACCTACCTCAACAGGTCCAGGGGTTCCCAAAGGTGTGGACGGAGTCAGTGAAGAAGGAATGACACGGAGACAGCGTTCAGTTGGTCAGGTTCTCTAGTCGGTTCTCCAGCCAGATTCTGTCTTTATTGTCCTGTTACATCTGTATTTATACCAGTTGATTTTAATCCTATCCATTCTATTCCAAAGGTTAGGGCGTTTGTTATCTCCATTCCAAAGTCACTACTCTATTGTTCTGTTAAGCTACAAGGAAGTAACTGAAGGAGATTATCCTAAGTGATAGTTCGTAGTTAAAGTGATTAATTACCCGCCTGGCACTTAGTTAAGGGGTTTTATTCCCTTCCTTAGTCCTTCCCCACCTGGGGGAAACAACCCTTCTTAGCACTTGGTGAAAACACATAGTGCTGCCAAAACCGGTTTGGCTCAGTGGATAGAGCGTTGGCCTGTGGACTGAGCGGTCCCGGGTTCGATTCCGGTCAAGGGCATGTACCTGGGTTTCGGGCACATCCCCAGTGGGAAATGTGCAGGAGGCAGCTGATCAATGTTCTCTCCCATCAAA